ACCCAAAAAAAAGGCTAAAATATCTCGACTAACACATAATTTCCTTTTTAATAAACTCTTTTAAATGTGTAACACAAACAAAAAAAGAGGAAATATTTTCCTTTGACAACAATGATGAATTTTAAATGTAAGATATTCTATATTCTTTCTTCTAACCTAACAAACCTAAGTAGCCGACTTCAAGCACTATAAATAATCCATCGTTTACACAATATGATACCATTGTTATTGTTTACTCTTTTTTCTTTAGTCCTATATCATTTTTCCTTTGTTTTGTTCAATGCGTTTTAATTAAATTATCATTTCTTTCATCCTTTGGTTTATAAAGTTATTCTTTATTATTTCTTACTTAAATAAACTGATAATAACTATGTATTTTGTGTAGGATTCCAATTTAATTTAGTTGGAGGAGCTTAAGCAAGAGAAGTCTAAACCGGGGAAGCCTGAAAAGAGATTCATATAACGAATTGGAGTATAGGCCAAATGCAGGATTTAAAGAAAAATGGTCTTCAAAATCTGGATTACGAAATACAGAGTATAAATGTAAACTGGTAAGATTTCATGAATTGTGATTACACGTTAAAAGCATAGCAATTAATTATTTTAAAAATATATATTTTAAGATGTAACGAGACAAAATCAATAAAAAGAAAAAAAAAATGAGAGCCAAACTCCGAGCTGAATTTCAATTATTTATTTTTAGATCCAAGCCAAAAATGATTAATTTATCATATATTAATTATATATTTACCGTAAAAATGATTAACAAATATTTGTAATATTTCTATTTTATCAAAAAGAAATAAAACTATTCTCCCGTAAGAATATGATCGGGCATATTTTAACAAAAATATGAACCTAACGGGTGCTTTAAAACTATACACAATTATTTAGCCATATCCAAAATTAAACTCTAATGTTATAGACCAAATTAGTTTACAATAATAAAAAAATTATACAAATAAGATTATCGAGTTTACAAACATCAGTTAGTCGACTAAAATTTCCTAAAACTATTTGTTTAAAAAAATTCAAATACACAATAACTTACATACAAAATATACATGTCAAATTAAAACCAAACAATATACAATATATGCATATTTATATTAAAATCAAACCTAATATACACGCGCTATCTATACTATTAAAGCTGAAGTACACAATGAATTTACACTATAGTTTTAAAATGAATTTTTTTTCATTTCTAACTGGGTTAACACGCGGATCTAACTAATTAATCGGATCTGTTAATCGGGTTTAATATTTTTAATCACATCCGTTAATCACATGCTTTAATAACACGCGGATCTAACTAATCTTTCGGATCTATTACTCGGGTTTAATATGTTTAATCACATCCGTTAATGATTATGCTTTAATCTCATTCGTTCATTGTTTACCATATTTTAGATCGGTGTTTAATATGTTAAATCACATCCGTTAATCACAAGCTTTAATCTCATTTGTTCATTTTTAGCATTTATTAAATCGGTTGATCTGCAAGTCCAATGGCCTCAATTTGCGTTGTTTATTCGGAAATTTATATATTACCGGTTTCGAAATCTAATAACATCTTACCTAAATTACAAATTATAATTTATCATCATCCCATCAAATTAGGGAACTATAGTCATCAAATATTAGCTAACATATTGGAAAATGGATCTTAGCCTTTAGTTTCCACTAAACAAATCACAATCGTTAATTTCAAAAAAATGATTAGATATTCTAACCACAATCATCTTCGAATGAATATTGCGTCTAGAGAATATTCTGCTAATTATACTCCCAGATCGTTTTAAAATTACCATAATTCAAGTATTTTCCATTCCAAAAACAAATAATTTAGAACTCTTTGTTTCTACGTTTGCTTTTCACTCATATTCTTCTCGCAACCTAAAAACCCTACTCGGCAAAAATGTCTATGGCTCTTCCCCTCTCATTCACACCACTCAAAGATTTGAAACCTTACAAAAACTCATGGCATATTCAAGTCAAAATTCTTCATAGTTGGAGAATGTTTTCAGCTAAGTCTGGTGAATCAATAGAATTGATTCTTGCGGATGAAAAAGTATGTCTTTTATTTTCATTTACCACATGTACTTTATATAAGCTTCATATAGTTTATAATCGTGGGTTTTAATGTATAGGGTGACAAAATGGGAGCTTCTATTAGAAAGGATCATATGAAGAAGTTTGAAAAATACGGTTAAATATATATATTTTTTGATATTACACATACGGTTATATATATATATATATATATATATATATATATATATACTTATATTACAATATATGCGTGCTTATATAAAAGCCCAAAAATAAACATAGTAAAATTACTACACCCTTATCTATTAATCATATAATAAAAATATACAAAAAAACACCAAATATTTATACAATACATATTTTATACACTACAAGTTTTTATTTTTTTACAAAAAAAATTATTCAACCGTGCGCAAGCACGGGTTCTCCTCTAGTATACATTAATTTACCACAAACCACATTGTATTCACTAATAGTTTTATAGTTTTTGAGAATAATGGTGTTCATATGGAAATTAAAGAAAAATCAACATTAACTTTCCCATATCATTACTGTATTAGAGGTTTTACAAATAATTTTATAAATTAATAAAATATAAAGATTTTTAATGTATTAATATATAGATGTTACAAATTAGAAACATATACATTAGGTTAAATTTTAGATTAACGGTATTATAAGATTTTAATTTATTATATAGAAACAAAAACAAAAAACACGACGAGACCCGCTCAAAGGAGAGAAAAAATCACGCTAACGGTATTATCTGGAACAATCGAGACACATCTTTCATCAGAATTCTCTAGAGAAACCCCAAAATACACTCTCTTCACTCTCTATAAAATCTCATCACAATTTCTCAATTCGATCTCATCTTTGTAAACACTTGTTCGATACGCTCTTTGTTATTGTGATTTCGCTCTCATAGTTTCAACTTCGATCAGAAAAATGGAAGACGATTTCGATATGCAGCAGTTTCCGGCAGATGAACCGGAGGAGATGGATATGGATCTCCCTGAAGACGAAGCTGACTCTGCTCCTTATTTGAAGATCGGCGAGGAGAAGGAGATCGGGGGATTAGGATTGAAGAAGAAGCTTGTTAAAGAAGGTGAAAAATGGGATACGCCTGAGAATGGCGATGAAGTTGAAGGTACATATATATTTGAATCACTATGTATCTGATCTGATCTGAGATTGATTATGTTCATAGATTGATTCCGTTGTTGTCTTCTTTTTGCAGTGCATTACATTGGAACTTTGTTAGATGGGACTAAGTTTGATTCAAGCCGTGACAGAGGAACTCCTTTCAAGTTCACTCTTGGGCAAGGTAAGTGATGAAGTTGTTTTGCTATTTTCTGGTTTTAGATTAAGCTTTTGGATTAGTGTAGTGATGCTTTGGTTATCTGTGGAAGCTTCTAGTGAATCAATTTCGAGACTGTAGTCACTTTTTGTGAGGATTTGTGTTTATCTGTTTAAGTTAAGAGTTCGTTCTGTGATCTATCATGTGGTTAATCTCCTGTGAAATCGACGCTAATGACCATTTTGTGTATAGATTGTTTTGTTATGTTCTTGAGTTTTGAATATCTCTGGTTTTGGATGTGTCAGGGCATGTGATAAAAGGATGGGATATAGGGATCAAGACAATGAAGAAAGGTGAACATGCTGTTTTCACCATTCCTTCTGAGTTGGCATATGGTGAAACTGGTTCGCCTCCGACTATTCCTCCGAACGCTACTCTTCAGTTTGATGTGGAGTTGATATCGTGGAGGAGTGTTAAGGATATATGTGGTGATGGTGGTGTGTATAAGAAAATAATTGTGGAAGGAGAGAAATGGGAGAAGCCAAAGGATCTTGATGAAGTTTGCGGTGCGTTTTTTTTTATTTTCTTGAATTTACTCTTGAGACGTGAGCTTGTAGACATTGGTTCTGATTTTGATTTAATGGTTTGATATTGTTGCAGTCAAGTATG